ACGGCAGCGTACAACGTTTTAAGTCCCGTTTAGTAGCTAAGGGGTGTATCCAACGTATTGGTGTCAATGAATACGAAACGTTCTCTTCTGCAGTTAGGTACGCTACTATTCGGATGGTAATGGCATTGGCAGTGGAGCATCGTCTCCATATACATCAAATGGACGTATAAACGGCATATCTCAACAGTGAGTTACGTGATGAGGTTTATATGAAGCAACCAGAGTGTTTTGTAGACAGCAGTTATCCGGATAGAGTTTTAAAGCTGAAGAAATCCTTGTACGGATTAAAACAAAGTGGTCGAGAATGGAACTCAAAGCTAGTCGTAGTTCTTCGAGACATTGGTTTTTCACCACGCCCTAGTGAACCGTGCTTTTACATCAATATTCATAGCACGGTACGCAATATAATAGCAGTATATGTAAATGATTTCACCATTACCAGTCATGTAAGTCCGAACTATTACAAATCAAAGCGAAAATTTCAAAGAAGTTCCGAGTGGTTGCTGGTGATCAACTGATCAACTAACGCTTTTCCTTATGGAGATAGAACGATATTTGTGCAGTATATTCTAAAGTTACAATACATAAAGAATACGGCATGTCCGGTTGCAGAGATACCGCAACACCATTGGATGCGGGTTTCATCACTCAATGCAGTAAAAGACGTGTAAGAAAGTCGACAAGACAGAGTATCAATCCATCTATCGGCCTCTGTATTGCGTAAGCAAATGTCAAACTTGTGCGTTTAACAAATTCAAAGTAGCAAACGCAACAAATTTCTAATTTGAAGAATGTACGTTCGTTTATTATTTACACTTCTGTATTGTTGATTTAGTTTTAATTTTTCTTCGTTTCACTGGTTACAATGCGCATGTGTTACAGAATACCGATTGTCCTTCGCAACGCAATTCACTTGCTGTAGATACTTCCCTATTTTCATTAAAATCTAATTCATTACTTTCTTACTTGTTTTCCGAATACTTCTATTTAAAAATTCAGCAAAAGGTATACTTGTTTGAAATTAGATTTCCCTTTCATGAATTAAATTTTAAAATTGTACTCTCCTAAATCCAATTAAATATCTTAAGAGTCTAGGACTATTGTCTCTTCCCGAATATTTAGTTAGTAGCCAGTTGAATGGTTGATGATCGCATTCTAAAACAAATTATCGAAATTGCCTATAAAATTCAATAATGCCCAGAAAGGATTTGATTCGTTTTTGGAAACTAGGTATCCTAAGCCCTGAATTGAAATTTTGTTGGGATCAGGCTTAACACCATCTGTGGTCAGAACAAGCCCTAAAATTGCGGTTCTAAAGAAAGTTGCATTTGTTAGTTTGTAGTTTTAATTATGATTTCCTAAGAGGTTTAAATATATATTTTATATTTTGAATATGTTCTGTTATACCTGTGACAGATATTTAGTAACAATACATTACTACGCACGAATACCAGATGTGTGTCACCAGATACCAGCACTTTACCATGAGAACAAAGCAATTCTATCATATTTCATTGGAATATTTTAGGAAACACAGCGATAAACAAGTTAGATAGAGGCTTTTACACAATTGTCAAAATGACTCAAAAAACTAATAAATAAAATGAAAAATAAGATATTTTTCAAATTCGTTTTTCTTGCATGCTGTGCTGCCTTATTTTATGACGGATTTTTAGGGACTCTAACCAATTATGTTGTTTGTGAAAAAACATTACTTTTGCATTATTTGAAACAATCGGTCATATTCCCGTTGTTGTTGTTGTTGTTTTAAAACGAAATAAGAATGACTATTTGGCATTCCTATTGACGTTATCGACATTTATCGAAAATAATTTTGAATTCCCCATTTTGAAACGAATATGGTAACGACATGGGAACATTCGTTCCTTGTCGTTGTAGTAATTGAGAGCCAAATAAAAACGAACGCGATTACTTGAAGTGAATTTTAGTGTGCGATATGGAAAAATTTCCTGCGTATGCCAAAGGGTTAAGAAAGGTGATAAAACCATTGAATTTCGATATTTGTGAGGTAATATTTCGAAAAAACTCATTTCGAAAATTCATTTGCACCTCCATGTCGCGACGGAGACGAGTAGGAGTTATTATTATTGTCGTCTTTTTGTACTTAAATTCACTAAATGGTTCAAATATTTTCTGCAAAACAACAAATAACAACTTCAGATACAATGGCGTTATCATACTTTCTTAATTTTAATTTAAAATTTCAAAAAATACGAATTTAGAAAAACGACGATAACAACGACAACAACTTGGAAATGACAATTAAAAATAGCGTAAACGGAATAAGGCCGAATATTATTTACCTTTTACATATTTATAGTTGTACTAAGATGCATCTATGTGAACGAACAACCATTAGTTATAAAATTGCCATGAACCGAATTCATTAACTTAACTTTGAAATGTGTTAATAATGGCTAAAGGTGTACTAAATGTAGTGTATTCGAGTTACTTTCCCGAATAATTTTTTCAGCGTTTCTCCTTTTGGGCTTGAATTTCTTCTAGTGAATATATGGATATCCATACGTTTCTGAGATAGGATTTATCACTGTGGTGTTAATATTTTGTTTGACTACGTTTGTAGGAGAAAGGTTATCACCTTCCTTATAAAAAGTTCCTAAATTCTAATATAATATAGTTGCAGCTATCTTTTCTTCTGATTTAAAGACTTGAAGATAAACATTTTAATAGTATTTGTCTCTACAATTCGCTCGATAATGGTTATATTTTCGATTGCGTACGACAAATAAGTTTATTAAAAATATCCTATTCCCAGCACTTCTACATATTGTTGTTCATTATCTATTCGGGCTTGTAGCTGTTGCAATAATTTGGCCAATAATTGTTTCGAAATTTTCATTAAAAAGTCTATTACCTTCAGGGTTGCAAATAATGCATTAAAAGAATTGAATTAACATTTGAACTAAATTTTTGTAATCCCAAATACGGGTTTGGCTTAGGAATTCCCGAATACGGGAAAATTAAATTTTAACCCCAACATCGGATTCACTATTATTTTGAACTAATTTATTTAATTGTTTTAAGTAACTTCTTTATTTTTATATTTTGTTTGGTTAGGGATTGTTTAAATTTAAATATAATATACATTATAAAACAATCCCAAAGTTAAAATTTGTACAATAAAATATATGAATTTTGATGTCTTTATTCTGTTTTGCTAATATATAATATATATATTTGATATTTTCTAATTTTAATAATTCATTGGTTGTTTCAATATATTCTAAAATTTCAAAATTATTAACGGGATTATTCTTTAAATAATTCCAATTATTTGTTTGAATATTTTTAATAGTTCTATTATTTATTACTGTCAGAATATGAATTACTAATTGTGTTAAACACTTTTTCAGTTTGAGATTGGTTTTGTTACCTCTCCTCTTTGTGTCTTTATACTTTATTATTCAGTCGATTTCAATTTAATAAAGCGGCTTAAACCAATAGTTGTGTTTCTTAGTTGCAAAACTGCGTCGTTGCGCAAAATATTTCGTTCTAATTGTGCGTTGGTGCAGAATTATCAGTGTGCTGTATGTCGGTGCAGATATCAATCGAAAGAAAAAAAACTAATTTTGAACAGCAAAATTGAGCGGGTCCAATTACGCGTCATGGCCGGTGCAAATGAAAAGCATGCTAATACACTCCGACTTGTGGAAAGGTGTATGTGGTCGGGAAGTGAAATCGGAGGAGATGACGCCAAAACAAAAACGGCCTTGACAATAAAATGAAAAGCACTTGCGTTTATAATGTTGTCCGTGAAGCCTTCACAAATTAATAATGTAAGCATTATGATTGTGCTGTTATTGCATGAATAAATGCTTGAAATACATCAGCCAAAAGGCCAGCGCGAGATGTTATTATATAATAAAAATTTGACACCTCAAAATGAACAAGCGGGCTACTGCGGCTAGCCACATAAGTAAGTTTTTTAAATTAGTGGAAGAACCCACAGATGTAGAAGTTGTAATAACTAATGAGCTTTTAGTTATTATTTTGCTGTCGAGTTTGCCAAAAAAGTTCACTCGCCATTTTAAAAATCAAATTACTAGAAGAGGCCTTTCGCCCTATAGAAGAAAGTCATGAAAGTGCTATCGAAGTGTTAATGTAAGCACGATCATGTGCAAATTCAAACGCTCAGCGAGTAGACAAAAACAGCGCGACCCCACTTACGGTTCGCGTAACAACAATATCAAGTTCAATAAGAATTTGAAGTGCTTCAACTGCGATCGGCGCGGTGACGTTAATATTTTAGGTACAGCGATTACTCTAAAAATGCACTGTTTGTACCGGATTTGAAAGCGTTTAACAATAAAGGTTTATTTTTATACAAAGCGTGCAAAATAAATGCAATAACGCAACAGTTTCAAAGATGCCTTAAATAATGCAATTAAATGGCACAATCGTTTTGGGCACGTTAACTTCAATTGTTGAAAATATATGTTAATCAAAAAAACAGTATTAGGTTCGAAATTCGGCAAAATAGTACCCGATTTTGTGGGTGAAACATGCGCCGAAAGTAAAGCGTAACAAAGACGGCAGTGTACAACGTTTTAAGTCCCGTTTAGTAGCTAAGGGGTGTATCTAACGTATTGGTGTCAATGAATACGAAACGTTCTCTTCTGCAGTTAGGTACGCTACTATTCGGATGGTAATGGCATTGGCAGTGGAGCATCGTCTCCATATACATCAAATGGACGTATAAACGGCATATCTCAACAGTGAGTTACGTGATGAGGCTTATATGAAGCAACCAGAGTGTTTTGTAGACAGCAGTTATCCG